TCGAACTCAGGACCTCTAGTGCTTAACGTAATGCTAGACAACACGTTTAAGCAATTAACTACAGAGGTGATCGAGCCAAGAGAGTATAATAATAATAAACAGCAAAATCAGAGTCTCTGAAAATAAATCATTTGCATGAACATTGTCGAAATCTGTTTTTATTCAACATTATTATAATTGAGTTCATGTCGCGAGTGTATTAGTCATTTGGCGAACAATGAGGACATTTATTTTACTTAACAACGTTGGTTTCGCATGTTAAGTGACTGTTCCCATATTTGTTGGTACTTACTTCATTCTAGTTGCCCGAAATTGCTTGCAAATAGTATAGGTATAATTGAAAGAAGCGACGAATTCGCACAATAAGATTTAGTTTTATCATGTTTAAATGGAAATAAATCACATGTTTTATTGTGGGTTAGACAAAGCCCTTTTTGTTATTTGAAAACTTTAAAATTTTTACACGTTATTGCACAAGATTGCGCGAGAGGTGCATGTATCAATAAGTTGAAAAAATTCGACGATGACGTGTAGGGCTCTGTTGGTTACAACACGGAACGATGTGGATGCCGGTTCACGTCCTGCCTAATCATATTTTTTTTCCAATTTATATTTAATTAACATTTTAATATTTATTACTGTTGACAGGACCACACAGGTACACAATTAGTAAGTAACAATTAAATTTATATGTAGTGTATACTTTCCATCTGAGAAAAGACAAATCAAGTATGGACGATGTCAAACCAAAGGGACCTAGTGATGACTCTTATAGAATTAATGCCACAGATGACACAGGGATAAATCGATTATAAATAGTCCAAACGACCTCAATACTCCATCAAGTTTATGGCGGCCTTTACTTTTTTTTTTAACGTCATTATTATTTAACTCGGCGTTTTTAACGATTTGCTGCGATCGTGCATAAGTGGGACTTCTTCCTTGTATGTATTAGCGTTGACTTTCTTGAAGTCCCCATCCCTATGAAAATGTGAAGCATAAAAAAAATATTTGTTCATTCACGTAAATTATTTTTCAAGATTTTTATTAATTTTAGCGTGAAATTATAGTTTTTACTAAGTGAAGTTGAGGTAGTTTCATTAGGTAAAAATATAATCCAGGGTATTGTCCAATATTAATTAAAAAGGATTATTATATATATATATATATATATATATAATAATGCAGGTGTTTTAAGTTTAAATCAATGTTAACTTTGCGGGAAAAATCACGGTTTCATGTAATTTGTGTGTTTGTTCACTAATACTAAATAATAGTAAAAAAAAAAAAGTTTTCAATAAAATCTATTTTTAACTACCATAGGCAAAATCACAAATCAAACATTCTTATGTATAAATTTAATATATCGAAAACTTTCAACGAACATCTTTGGGACGAAATATGCCCAAAATATATCCAGATTTCTTTACAAACGTTTATCAAAAGCGAATTGAATACGAATATTTTATGCTTTTCGTTTGAGCTACACAGCTTAATATCATTTTACAAAAAGATATGTTCTGACTGATATTATATTGAAATCGTATCAATATGTATTCAGAATATCTGAACGAAATCTGACTTAAATTTTGATAAAAGAATTCTGTTATTTGTATCTTATGTGACTACTTGGTGTGACTGCACCTGAGTTTTTTCATTAAGTAATTATGTAATATATAATCTTAGAAGATAGACATATAGCATTGCTTTTTATTAGATAATTTAAAGAGAAATCTTTCTTTCTTAAATATTTTTTGGGTATCTTAAAACGTTTTCGCTGCGTACGCATCGGAAAAACACAGAGATGAAAAGTTCCCCCCGTTTTGTTCACATTTCCCGCTGTATCTTCCTTCGCTCCAATTAGTCACAGCGTGATGTTTTTCTCGATAAATGGTCTAATTAAAACAAAAAGGATTTTCCAATTCAAACCAGTAGTTCTGTAGATTAGCGAGTTCAAACAAAATAACAAACAAACTCTTCAGCTTTATATATTAGTATAGATATAAAAAAATCGAGTCACAATATCACACATGACTTGACATATATTTGAAGTATTTTTGTATCTTAAGTGATGATTTATAATTAATTTTGAGTTATCCACTCAATTTCGTGATTGTTTATAGCTCTGATAGCAACATCACGCTTGCCAGTTTAAATAAAAGTATACAATCAATTGTGGGAGCTTCCAAAATTAATTTATATTATATCCCTTATGAGGCGCCTTTTTTATTTTATAACATGGCAGAACAGGCACGTATGGAGTTTGTAGAAGGTAAACGCCTCAGCGCTTATTTTTTTAAAACATTCAAGAATAATTAAATATTTTAAATTGACAAAGTATTAATAAGGGATTTTTGGATTTGGCTTTACTATAGAGAGAAAGGCTTAATTAATTGCCTTTCTCTCTATAGTTCACTGATTGAAACTTATCTATTTAAGGTCTGTGGTTCGCGACCGTGACGGAGATCGATATTTCTTCCTTTTTGATGCCTACGTGTTTAGAAAAATCACAAAATGATTATTAAACATTAGTATTACTAAATCCCCTAGGAATCAAACCTGTAGACTGTTAACCATACCTTGTTTATAAGTGCATTAATATACCATGCTATATCATCTGTAAAACACTTATTTTGAAATAAAAAGGTTCATATTGATACGAATAATCCTCCGACTTAGCGGGGACGACACAACACTAGTGCGACGCGATTACCGCGCGCCTCCCCACACTAGCTCAGGAACTGTCAAATACGAACGTTGGCGCGCATTCTGTCGGTTAAGCCTAATTTTGGATAATAAATTAATATTTAAGAGTTTAACATTGTTTTTCCAACCTAACAGTATCAGAAGTGCGATAAGTGATCTTGCTCACGAGTGAACGTTGATGAATTGGACGATAATTTCACTTTTACAGTGCAAAGTTTGGTGAAAAAAAAAATGGCGGTTTTGGGTGCGAAAAGACGCTTTTATTATATAATTTGGTGATGACACACATAATTAGTGATAAGAACGCTTGTAGTAACTAAGTTTTTATGCAGTTCGGTACTTAATACTTGATTTTTGCACAAATTTTGTCAATCCGTTAAGGGTCACTGACCTCCAGTGTAGAAGTTTTGGGTGAACATTTTCTGGTTGAGAAACTGGTTTATTTGTGTGAATTATCCTGGTACGGTGGCGATTGCATTTCAGGGTGCTTGAAGATGCATCAGTTGCGTGTTGAAATGTTCCTGGTTATTTGGTGAGATTGTTCCATGAACTTTTGTATTTACATAAGTAGACTGATAATTTGAGCATACTTTAATATCTGTTAAAATGCTCTGCAACCCATAAATAAACAAAGTGAACTATTATAAGTTGTTAAATTTTAAACTAAATTTATTTAAAGGACTATTTGGATAATTGAACTTTTACTGAAATTAATTACTTTTGTTAAAGAAGTTTACTTTATTCAAAGAGAATTATTAGTGTTAGAGACAGCAGTATAAGTTTATTGTGTGTGACTTTATTTTAATTGTTAACATGGGTCGGCACCAGAAGAGACATAGGTCTACTAGTGCTTCTTCGTCAGGGTCAAGTAATTCTGATAGACAATCTAAAAGTCAACGACAAAAAAAAAGAACTTAAAAGGAAGAATAAGAGAATCGAAGCGTTAGAAGGCTTGACTAAAGAATTACGACAGAAAAATTACAATAATGGTGACACCACACCAAGAGTAGAGTCAGTGGTTCGTTATGTGGGACGGAATGATTTTATACCTGAGTTTAATCCTCAAAAATCATCTGTCTCAGTAGAACATTGGCTCCATAACTTAGAAGGTGTTGCTAGTATGCGTGGCTGGGATGAACGCACTTTGATTTGCAACTGCACTTCTAAGTTGGGTGGCTATGCTAAAAGCTGGTATGAACGCCAAACTTGCTATTAGGAACTGTCAAATACGAACGTTGGCGCGCATTCTGTCGCTTAATATTTTGGATAATAAATGAATATTTAAGAGTTTAACATTGTTTTTCCGACCTAACAATATAAAGGACTTTAACATTTTTTTAATTTTACTGAGTCGGTACATGGTGATCTTACAAACCTATTTTCCTACATTTTGTTGATATACAGACACATTTTGTCTTTTATTGATAGCGTTATTAACAGATTTTAATACAAATACAGCATTTTAATTGATACAACATTTTTCTTCTGTTAAGAGAGAAAAAATAAAACAAACTAATTAATCGTAATATCAGTTTATTTCTCGTAAACAGTCTTATAATCGAGCGATTTGTTTACATTAGAGTAAACGATATTTTTTGGCGATTCTAAGCGAAACTTTTAATATACGACCTTAGGCTACATTTATTAAGGTGGCGTGGGCAGGGTGGCCATTTTAATATTATTTATGGAACATTACCCACTTTTTCAGATCAAAAATAGACGTTATTTGATATTTTCATAACATATTTTTACTAAAGTAACTACTTTTTAATATATATTTATTGCCGGGCGTTTGATGTTAATAATATTAATAAAAGAACATTTTTATCGCAGGTATACAATATAATCATAGTCTATATATTAATATGACATTACTTATTTTCCTTCAGTTATCATCCCTACCACGCCACTGTATACATTTAGATTTAAGAGCTATGAAATGTATCCCTTTCAACTTAAAAACAAAGAGAAAAAAAAAAAAGATTTTATTTACTAATCAAGAGCAACCAGCACGTTACAATAAACTTAGAAGAAGAAAATAAAAAAAATGAATGCTCTAGTTATTGGATACATTTAAAACATTATTACAAGTAGTATCTATTTATATTTTCAATTACTAAACTGCGAATCTGTCGATCAAAGTTAATTAATCAAAGGGCGACGTTTCATAAATCTTAATCTATATAACAATTAACCTAAAACTTAATATAATATTTACAGAGTCGAAACGTCGTAATTGAATTACTTTAAAGCATATTAAACTTTCGCGTCTATGTACATTCTCATCACGATCTCTACAGTAAATACAGATATACACAATAGATTATTAACAATGTCCTTGTTATGTGTAATATCTCTTGTGAATTTGCTTTGGCGGCTTCGGTTAGACCTGGAAAAAAAACTAATTCATTATTTTTACTGAACGGATTTGAAAATAATAACCTTAATTAGTAATTATACACTATAAAATGTAAAGCAAACAAGTTTTATTTTACGTGTGCCCCCGTTATATTTGTTGAGTTATGACTTATTTAGTCGAAATAATTATTAAACATTATACAGTTTAAATTGTAATTAACGATAGTTACTTTACTTAAAAATTTATAAAGTATTATAATACACATTTCGTACAATACGTAATAATTGTCAACCAATTAATTTTTGCTAAATCATAGATTTTATATTATATTGATAGGTGGAATTTGTATTCCAAATTTATACTCGCGAGAGTATAGTTGGACTACGAAATGTCATTATGTTAACATTGAGCAGCATGTAAGGGAGGTACTTTTAAAATTTTGAAACCGCAGCTAATATTTCTTGTTTTTTATCAGTTCTCTAAATGTTTAGTCTTCCTAATGGATTGAGTTCGGATTTAGCGCAAAATTTTCGTATTTGCTATATATTTTTCGCAGTTAAAAATGTTTACTTCAAACATTCCCCTCGTTGAAATTCAGATAGAAATACTGAAATAGATAAGTTTTTTATGAAAAAATGTGTACGAACCTCCGGCCACGCTTATTTGATTGCTGAAGTCCTCTGGCGAGTTGAGTTTAATTTCTGAAATGACGTGCTTTATATAAAAAATTGGAAAACAAATTTCGAGATTAACACAAACAATGTAAGCTTTGTAATTGTGCTGATTGTAATGCATTCTTGTATTGGGGCTTCTCTACAAACAAATCACTTTATATAGAAGAAAGTGTATTTTACTTTCTTTCCATCATAAGAATATTACAAACTATCCTTTTCAGAGTAAAAAAAATAATAATATTATAATCCTTATAGAAATAAATATTCCAATTAAATAAACCTATGTCTCAGAGTTCTGTTAGTTTACAAAAGCATTTTAATTAAAATATAATTAATAACAGTTAAAAAATTAAAAAAAAATGCATTTGATACTGTTAGCCATCATTACCTATTATTTTTTTAATGATAGAGAAGAATAAATACGCATGGGATTCTCTTGATGGTAGGTAAAATACCCCAGCCTATAGCATCTACAAGATGCGCTGTCGGCCTATTTTGACTTCGGATATTTATTATTTAAAGTATCGAGTGTTTGTTTGGATATCAAACTACTAGTAGGAAATACTAAATAGAAATATATGGCACTCTCATAAAATCACGCCTGGCGAGAATTAACTCAAAAAGACAATATAGAGTCGACATCGGGCGTCCTGCCAAAGCGATACGACCAAATGAAGATCTTGTGCCAATTGTAAACGATTTTTCCGCGAAATGATACTTTCATATCGACATTCTCACTGGCTGTACTCGTTCTGCTGTTTGCTTTTAATTTTATTGCTAGCTTCTGCTCCGTTAGAACATACAACGTATTTACTCATGAAAAAGCTGTTTCAGTTATTTAATAGTTCTTTTTTCATTTGGCATGACTGTGTTAAAGCGAAAGATTTGTTTGCTTATCTGTACAGTGTATGTTTATTAAATTTCTCGAGAGCAGCGAAAAGGTTTCTTGGGTATATTAACAAGTGACTTGGGAAAATTTTATTGATTTACAAATGATATTTACTCAACTATGATTAAAAGTCCTTTCAAACGAAAAACACAGACGTCAAATTACGTTCAGGGTAAATTCACATTTTTATTTTGTTCAAGTTTGTTAACCATCGATGAATGACCGAGAGACGGTTGATAGTTACCATAACATCGTTGACTTATTGAAAGAACCTTTTAGTATCCCGTCCTAAACAAAGAATATAGTCCTGTATTGCACGAATTAAAAATAATAATAAATTACCAGAAGAGGATCATATTCATCTCAAAACATATAATCCACGCTCTTTCGTGGAACTGTACTGACCTTTTATAAAAATGTGCTACTGAAATAACTTAATCTTTATGTCCGTTGAAAAAGGTAGGGTTAACAGTTGTTAATCACGCGCGTAATTTACACGCATATGAATGGATAACTGGAATTATTTTCGACTATTAACACATTGTTTATACCAGTTACATGCAAAGGATCTATTTAAATGTAAGTTTAACAACAAAACAAACAGTTTATCAGTCTGTGTTAAATAATCTTCTTTGTCTAACTGTTTTACATCAGCGATGAGAGAATTAGCGAAAAAAAGAAGTATGTATCAATATCGTTTTACAGGATTACTTAGACTATGGACGTTAATCCACTCTATCATACTAATTCTTGATTTACTAGGTGTCAAACTAATTGTATGACATTTCATGAAACTCTTATAAAAATATAATCGAAACAATTATCGTTGAAAAGTAAAAAGTAATGTGACGGAATGTGACGGACGTCATCACCAGGAGATGTTGTTATTTATTTTTTATTTTTATTTATTTACTAAGGAAACTAAACAGTACAGTCTCTTATGATAACTTAAAACTAATTTTCTTATTGTCTAGGGAAAAATAAAATTTTATAAAAATCCAAATGCATGCAGGCATGTACTCAGAGACAGTACCTTAACAAGTTTCTCTGAGAACATTTGATTTAGAAATATAAAAAAGCTTTTAGCTTCTAGAGTTAATTCTTCAAGCAATCGAGAAGCCCGATAAACAATGATTTGACGATAATCGAATGATATGATTCCATCGTATGCTGAACGATGGCCATGAAAGCCCTAAACAATTTATTATGCAGCTTTATTTAAATAAAACACTTTAACGGTTTAAAACGTGCAGCCCTGGTCCCAAAGCTTCAAAGCATCCGAAACGTCGGGCCGAAGTTAAAATTAATTTTCAAATAAGTTTAACTAATATATATGGCGTTTTAAACCGTTAAAGTGTTTGATTTAAATATGTACTACTCGCGTAAACTATATACAGTATTTATGCAGCTTTATTGTTTGTGCTTTCCAGGTTACTACATAAAAATTCAAATCCTTAGTATTTCAATATAAAGATTTTATGAGTCCTCATGTCCGAGATCTACTTACCATACAGGCGCAGAGTACCTTCACTCTTGCCTAACGAGTTGGTACTGACACAATTGTATGTACCGATATCACTCTTCGCAAATTGCCGAATGGTCAACCACATTGACACCTTGTATGATGATTTTTCTTCGCGTATTGTGTATTTTGGGCTGAAACAAAATTACGTCAAGTTATAATACGAACAGGTACATAAAGTGTACTTGTAAGTCCTAAGAGTGTCTATAGTTTACGCGAGTAGTACACATTGAAATAAAACACTTTAACGGTTTAAAATGCGATATATTAGTTAAACTTATTTGAAAATGATTTTTAACTTTGACAGTGTGTGTCTTCGGACAGACACGGAGAGACGGGGTCTCCCCGTGACCATGGCTGCTGCAAAGCATCCGAAACGTCGAGCCGACGTTAAAAATCATTTTCAAATAAGTTTAACTAATATAGCGCGTTTTAAACCGTTAAAGTGATTCATTTATATGTGTACAACTGGCGTAAATTATGGACAGTATAAAATTGCATCAAGTTATGATACGACCAGGTACATAAAGTCTGTGTGTTTGTAAATCCTAAGAGCTTAAACAGTTTGACCGAATACAAAAAAGAGGATTTAATTAAAAAAAAAACATTTTTTCATTATTATTATGTATTCTATTTTATTGCACAATTAAAATAATTAAAAATAAACTGTATGAAAAAATAGGAGAAAATATTTAGAAGCAGCGCAATCTTTGTTACCGCGCTCACGGAAGTTATAACAAAGCAGAGGCGAAATACGAATAAAGATAAATTTATACAACAGAAAGTTCTGCAAAATTTGGCACAAAACTCGCTTTTAACGAATCATTAAGACTCACGGTACATTACGCTATGAACTTGTGAGATATATTTTCGGTGTAAGGCTTTAATTGTGGAGATTTTTTACAATCCAGATTAGCAGTAAAATACCTACTTTTGGGTACAACAGCAATACAATTTGTATATAACGATAAAAGAATCGGCTTGCACCAATTTATTTTGTAATGACTTGACTGAAGACATTGATCAGAGCAACAGTATAGTTTGCCTATCGTGGGTTCAAACTCTGCCAGTGTATGTTTTTAATACATCAAATTAAATAATTTAACGGTTTAAAATGCGATAGTTAAACTTATTTGGAAGTTATTTTAAAAACGGCTCGACGTTTCAGATGGTTTGTACCAGTCACGGTCATAGGAAGACACCCTAACATATCGCGTTTTAAACCGTTAAACTGTATTATTAAGTTACTACCTAAAGTTTACTCGCGTAAACTTCATATATTTAAATCTAATGAATTTTTATTTTGGACCTTATATTTCGGATGCTAACGTATTTAGCGGTTCCAACCAATAATAATGTTTTATTCAATGTATCAAGTACCGGCAAAAGTTAAAAATCGATTATAATACTATCAAAAATCCGAAATGTTGAGTATATACCATTGAATACTCAAATTCAAATCCACCATGTGAACATACGTACTCCATGACAACCCGCCCTTTAATACGGAGAAAGAATTCTATTCGCTTTTCTGAAATGTAACAAAATTACATTTGACGTCATAACCAAACAACGTCATGCTTTGACGTATACAATTTTAATTGAAATCATTCTGTATGTCGTTCAGCTTAAGACTCATTTTTGTTTAGCATGATAGTAATAATTGCAGTACTGAAAAAAGTAGAGGAAAATATTAAAGACAGACACCAAAAAGGGAAACGCTAATTGCATTTGAAAGGCAATTTTGAGCTTTCCGTTTTATTTGTAAGTATTTTAGTTACTGTAAAATTAGCTGTCTGGCGGCCTGCGGATAGAAATATGAATTTTTCATAGCTCCACTTTCGTTCAGAAAATGTAAGGTTAAAAATATAACATTCATGAATCAAACGGTACGAGTATTCTAAGATATAATGAGACCCCTGTGGTTGATATTTCAATTAGTTCGAGTTGATGGAAAACATTTTAAATAACTCATTTTTACGTTTGAAAACTTATTGATACATGCACCTCGGTCTATGTATTAAGGTTCTATGAAATTACAGAGTTATTTTATAAAAAAGTACCTTAATACACAAGTATTAAGGCTGAAATAACATTACGCGCGTGGTGCATTTATCAATAAGTTGCAAAAAATCGACGATGATGTGTAGGGCTCGGTAGCTCAATGGTAGAGAAACAGCAAGGTTAATGCCCGTTCAAGACCCACCCGAGTCGAATTGTTTTATACAGTGCTAATACAGTTCGAAAATAATTTAAAATCTTACACCGTAGAATCACGCAGTTTAGAATCACAACGTATCTTACGTGATGAGAATAACTAAGAGAACTGGAGTTGTTTTAATAGATATATTATAAGATTAATTTAACATCAAATAGTGCTACATAAATATATACAAACAGTTTATTTAATTTAAATTCAATCGATACAAATGCTGTGTTGCACTATGAAAATATTATTATATATGTGTGTAACATTATATTCTTGTGACGTTTGAGTAATCTTTTACTTGTCATGGCCGCTATACAATTAACATGAGAACAAGTTAAAGTGGTTCCTACTACTTAATATTCAAAAGTCAAACGTGAAACTCAAACCTCATACACGTCATAAAACTAGAGACTACTATTTTACTTTCCTATCCTACGCACTACCTTAACCACGTATATAAAATACTCTATAAAAAGCATAAAAACATATTATGGTTATAGTACGAACACGGTAATATTATTATCAAAATTATGTAATGTACTGACGTTATCTTTATTCGTGTCACATAGTGTTTCATTTAAGTATTGTACACCATAATATACCAAAATCAATTTTAAAATGAATGCTGTAAATTTAAAAATTTATAATTAGATTTTTCTTACCCATCGAGCAACATCTCTCCCCTATTTTTGATCCAATAGTTGATGGTATTAGGATAGGCTTCCACATAGCACTTGAGCTTCACATCAGTCCCAAGTGGCGCTCCCAAGAGCTGGTTTGGCACTTTCACTGTTGGTGCAACTGTAAAAAAATAGAAGAAAATAACCCAACTAGTCCAATAAACTAATAATATACAATCATTAAAAACGAAATAATGTTTTTGTCTTAATACGAGATTGAAGGCAACAAGTATTAAGAGACAGATACTATCTAATTAAATAAAAACAAAAAGTAACATCTAAAAAGAACACAAAAATGTGTCTTAGTCATAAGTCATAATTATTATTACATCGTGACTATGATTGTCATGACTTAAATGTATTGCTTGGTGCCTTTTTAAATTATTGCAAAAGTGGAAAACTTTGGGTCAAGTCATTGAACTCTCATTCAAGGATATATAATATCAATTCTATTTTGAAGCAAGAATATCGATTTCTCACTCTTCAATGGACTATTAATAAAACAAATGAGTAACTATTTAAAACAGCTTCGAATAATATATGATACAGAGCCACTTATATGATCTATATGGAATTAATTGACGTGAAAATGTATAAGACTATATTTTTTATACTCTATCGTAGGCGTTCTACGCCGTAGCACATGGGAGTAGAATAACGTAGATTTTGTAGAGGGCTTGTAACATAAATGATAATAAAATTAGTAATTAAACAAAGGAAAAATAAATACTGTCTATAGCTTACGCGAGTAGAACACATTTAAATAAAACATTTTAACGTCTCCCCGTACCAAGGCTGCTGCAAAGCATCCGAAACGTCGGGCCGAAGTTAAAAATCATTTTCAAATAAGTTTTACTAATATATCGCGTTTTTAACCGTTAAAGTGTTTTATTTAAAAGGAAAAATAATTATGTGCATACTATAAACATATGTTTATTATATCTTAAGCTGTAAATCAAGGATTACGCCTTAGTTTAAGTCCATATTATTTACTAGTATAGATAAAAAATATAAAAAACCCTAGTGCTTTAAGCTCGCAGATTTATGCGTTGTCTACGAATCGAAATAAAATACGCGTTCGCAGTTCAAATAATTTCTTATCGCGTGATTTATTTGACGCGTATGAAGCACAGACTAAACAAAACAAAAATGAAGCGCGCTCAAATGTAAGGCCATCACGACTCGGAGTGGAAAGATAGCCAAGAGATTTATCAAATATTTGCTTGGATAAAAGCGGAAATCAAAATCATAAATTTAACTTTTTGCACTCGTTGCGGCAAAGTGTTTTGGCCACGCTGTGATGGACTTTAAGTGAGACGAACCCGCCTACTGGTTATGAGTATTCTGTGGCGTGTCGTGCAATAATTCGTTGTTATAGAACGCTCTTTGTCCCAAGAGCGTCGTGTTTTGTGAGTGATGCTGCCCACGTCGTTGGCGACACGCCAACCTACTACCTACTAGCTACCTACATTTTTCACCAACTACAGCCGAGTCTCGGAATTATAATATGGAAAATAATCGATATATTGCACATGTGGGTGAAACTGTGTTAAGTTCTTTGATGTTTAACGGAGGTGTAAGACTGAACAAAGGCAGGAAAAGCTACGTGTATTTTCATATGAGCATTATGCAAATGTATTTTCCAAGATTTTCCAAAGTGTTTGTGTAGTATTGTTAACTATATAATTTTTATATAAAGAATGTTTTTAGACTAAGGTGTTTTAATGAAACGTAATCTTTTGATTATTTATCAGGCAAAGTAAAATCTTTTAGCAATAAAAATAATACAAACAATATTTACACTTAAGAAATCAAAGAATAATTAACATACTTAATAACTGATTGTTATGTTTAAGTTTTCTAGTTGCACATTACAATAGCTTGCTAATTAAGTTATATTAACGGTTCGCTTATTTTCTTGCATCTGCTTTCACAACGTAAGCTTGGAGAACTTTTGGTCTATTGAAAATAATTGTCGTATAAAAGTTCAAGGCCAACGACGTTTATCAGTGAAGAGAAGTATCGAAAATTATTATAATGAAGATGATAAGACTGATTCTTCTCTTATTGGACGGAGCGTGATATCTTACAACCTAAGACCTTCCTCGATACAAGATTTTTAACCAATTCGAACCAGTAGTTTCTGACATTAGCGTGTTAAAACAAACTTTTCAGCTTAAAACTTTTAGTATAGATGTATTATTATCTATAGGAAAAAACTTTTCAATCAAACATTATAAGAGGAAAATTGCATAATATATTAGTTGGACCGTAGAGATATCGGACCCTGGATTCGTTCCAAGACCCTGACATCCGAGCCGCCTACACGGATTATATTGTGACTCGTTAACCCTTCCCGAAGGTATTGAACTAAAGTCAGGTGATCCCGAAATAAAAGCGTAACCGCTAGCATGAAAATACCGCCTTTGTTAGTATATATTAATGAGTTGTGGATTTTTTATGTTCAGAGACCGTAAAAACATTCAGAAAGCGACAAGGTCACATCTCCGAGCTCGCCCTCTACGTCGCGTACTGGCCCCTCCGAGTCCTAAATCGGAGGCAACTCAAACACTCCCTCCCTGATTCGCGCTAACCAGTACCGGCCTTCGACACGCGGAAAAGGCCGATTCACTAGAGTCTCAGACCAGCTCCCAATACAAACCACGTAGACCCGCGTTTATTCAACGTCGCGCGAGGTGTCGTCACGATAAACTTACCGCCCGCCGGACCGCTCCCCTCGATTAGTTCGACGAGGTTAACCACTTCAGGGTCTTCATAATAAAAGTCCCCGGTCCGAAAAATTAATAGGCAATCAAACTCCTGCCCGATCAAATTATTGCCCTTCTGGTGGCGATTTTCAACTCTTATCTAACTGCGTCTTCCCGGATCATGGAAAGAGGCTTAGTTATAGGAATTAAACCGGGTAAACCCCAATTCCTAGTAGTTACGACCTATTAGTCTTCTACTCCTAAATTCAGCGACTTCTCAACCCCGGGACATTTCAAATCCAGGCCCTTCTTCCGGACGAACAGTTCGGCTTCCCCATGCCCACTCATGTACCCATCAATCACCGCCTCACGGAGAATCCTTCACGGCTTCGGCCGTACGACTCGCGGTCTCGCGACAGGAGCGCTCTTTTTCGATGTAGCGAAGGCGTTCGACAAAGTCTGGCATAACGGTTGTTATACAGCTATACAGATCGGTTGCCCGACAGAATGGTGCGAATTTCCACTCATTCTTGTCGAATCGCTCCTTCGCTTCCGGGTAGAGGGCGCCCTCTCCACTCCGAAATCCCTTCGCTCAGGCCTTCCGCAAGGATCGGTTCTCTCGCCAATTCTATTCTCGCTCTTTACTACGACATCCCCAAAACGCCAAAGCCATCTGCGCTTTTCGCCGATGATACGGCCGTTTACACCACCACTGCAAAACCAGCGGATCGTCTCCCTCTCAGACGCGACCGACGCCCTAGCGCATGGTTCCGGAAATGGAGAGTCGAGGTTAACCGAAAGAGTGCGGCAATCTACTTTACTCTAGGCCCCTCAGTACTACTAAACCGTGTAGACGCCCCGCCAATGTCAAGCTTTACGGCGAAGACATTCCGTGGCAAAAATCGACCAAATATTTGGGCGTCACGCTTGACAAACAGTTAACCTTCCGCGAACATGTCAATCGAGTCCGTCGTAAAGCCTGCTACGTCATGAGCAGGCTATATCCCTAATTTGGCGCGTACAAGTTGTCCCTCAGACACAAAGTTACGCTGTACAAAACTTGTATTCGTCCGATTCTCACCTACTCCAGCGTCGCGTTCGCCCAGCGCCCTAACACTCCACAGGCTCCAGGTGCTTCAGAATCGGTTCACTCGAACGCCACTGGAGCCATCTGGTGCGTGCGGAATGCAGATCTCACCATTCAATTACCGACCCTCAGTCGGTACTTCAAGGAAAGTCCGAGCGTTTCTTCAAAAAACCGCGACGCATCCGAACCCACTGGTGGCCCGGGCCGCCAACTACACCGTTCCCATCAATACACGCTGGAGAAGGCCGCGTAAGTCCTATTCCGACACAATTTAACGAAAGCCGTCGACGTACTTACCGCTATGCGATCGGCTAACACCGGTGCCGATCGCCCGCAAAACCGCCTACGCCGGCGTAGGCGAGGTCATTCGCTACGCGTACCGCTCACCCGGGTGAGCTTCCGTCCAACTCCTAAGCTCCCACCCGCATTGCGGCGGTCCACCGAGGCCGTTGCCCCCCTCGGGGCACCCTTGGTCTAGCCGCAAACACGGCGAGCGCTCTCGCGCTCGCCCAAAAACGCCCGGTTAGTATTCGTGGCTCCTTAGGAACAATTCAAAAAAAAAAAAAAAAAAAAAAATTTTATGTAATTTCGATACGAATTCGTACGAAGATCTAATATATAATATGTAATCTAAGCTTGTCTGCATATTTTAACTTTAAATTTACAATACACTTGTAGGAAGTACTTTACTTAAAGTAAAGAATTATACTCTTATTAAGGTGATAACAACACAAACCTGAAACTGTTGCTAAGCTAAGTGTTAGTAATTCAAAAAATATGTAATGTTGAAGACTCTTATAAATTAACAACCGGTTAATTTATAAGAACCCCGGTTTGTTTCCTCCAAAGACGCCAATTTTTGTCGGTCTTGTGCTATGCAGCACCAGTCATGAGCAGATCTTTTCAGATCACCTTCCCAGCGTGCCAAGAGTTTTCCTCTCCTCCTCTTGCCTGGAAGACCCTTCCACTGGGTAACCCATGAAGCCCACGTTGTATCAGACATTTTCGCTACATACATCTATTTATTTAATGTTTGTATTATGATTTAGATGCCAAACACCGTAACGCGTAACAAAGGGGTTTACTTCAGAGCGGGTGAATTACTGAAGTCATAAGTCTTACGGCAAAGTTATGACATCAAAAATTGATAATGATGAATCATTTCAGTGATAAGTTCGCATTGCGGCCAACCGCGCTCGCTAACTTTCCGCGTATGATTAATTTCTGAATCTGCCAAACTAACCGCTTTCCAATTTAATGACCGCGCGAAACTATTTCAAACGTTTCCGGAATTTCGCTTTCAGGATATTGAAGAGTTTATTTGCCTAAATTATCTTCAAAAACGATGTTACACGTATAAATTAATGACAGAGAACGACAGACGATATTATTAAAAAATACTACTAATTATAGAAGCTTCGCTTTTGACGATACATAGACGTAGGCGCAAGTATTCTCTCTTGCATTCGAAAGATTAAAAAAATTCGACGATTGCATATAGCACACAGTTGCCGGGTTAAGTCCTGCCCGTTTCGTAAAACTTTATCAATTTATAATCGATTTTAAATTTATATAGTGCCATCATATCATCATATATAACAAGTTATCAAACAGTACATTGACTAACATATCTATATTAACTATAGATAAATAAATTTAAAAACAAGGCTATCAATTTCATACTGTGTGTGTGTGTATAAATTACTAGCTGTGTCAGCGACTTCGTCCGCGTAGAACAGTTATTTTTGACATCTGAATTTGCTTTTGCAAACCGAGGAGGTTTCATCATTATAAATTTAAGCTGTTATCCGTGACGTCAGTCACTTCCCGTCATTCTTGCAAGTTAACCTTAAAAAAAAGACATGTAGTGTCGTTATTTCATACATATTTTTTTGGTATCTTGAACCGTTTTCCTACGCGTACGCATCGGAAACTCATAACAATGAGTAATTTTCCCGTTTTCCAACATTTCCCGCTGTTTCTTCGCTCCTGTTTTTCACAGCGCGATGTTTTATAGCATATAGCCTCGATAAATGCTCTAACTAACACTAAAATAATTGTTCAATTCAAACCACTTCCTGAGATTAGCGTGTTCAAACATAGAAACAAACAAATTCTTTAGCTTTATATATTAGTATAGATTAATTATCCGTTAAAATATGTTTACATTAAATAACTATTTAAATATATTTAATTTAACGTAATTATTTTACATTTTCAACAATACAGTATTACAACGTATTAACATTTCATGTTTTGTATAATTAAAACAAGGGGGGTTGCCCGGCAACTGTTGCTATGGATATATAATTGCAACTGTCATTGTCAAAAAGCCATCTATTAAATGCCATTTAGCTAAAGCTTACTATCGAAATATTATTACTTTAATGACCAATAAAGTGTAACGCATCAAAATTTCAATATTAATAATTTGTCTCTATGGCTTTAAAATAGCTTCAACAAATTAAAAAATCTATATACATTGAAAACATTTTACGACACGATCGGGACTTGACCTGGTATCTAGAACGTTCCATGCTGCTGTAACTAGCAGCATTAAGCAGCAATTTTTAAATCTAAACAGGTTTCAATGAAACACTTTAACTGTTTAAAACGTGATATCCCGACAGCAGTCGTGGTCACGGGTCACTCCAAATGACCCCGGCTGTTGCGAAGCATCCGAAACGTCGCCCCGTAGTTAAAATAATTTTCAAATAAATTTAGCAAATAAATATCGCGTTTTAAAGCGTTAAACTGTTTTCTTTAAATCTGTACCACTCGCGTAAACTGCAGACAGTATAAATCGATTTTTTTATTTATATAATACTACTATATGCAATAACATGCGAAAATTCTTAAAGTTAAGCCTTGGCCCATGAAAACCTTGCATTTGTTAAAACCTTCTGTAAGTAGCAGTAGAAAGAGTATAACCATAGAAATCTACTCACAGTTTACGTTAAGAGTGATGCGCTTGCTCACAGCCGGCGGCACGTCGTTCGACGCGATGCATAGAAATGCACCCATTTGTCTTCTATCCACTCGCCATAGGGGCATAGAACTGCCTACGAAACTTTCCACTGTTGAACAAATCAATTTATTAATATAATAAGGTACACTTTGATATTTGTGAAATAAAAAAGATAAAAACGAAAAGAGATAGGAAAATAATTCTTCACAGAATACCCATATTCCACCCACTCAGAATATTCAAAGGTCTAGAAAATTCATAAAATATTGCAACTGAGTAGACCCACGCTTGCTAACATTAAAAACCTTCAACTGACATTTACGTAAATGGATAACATATCTTCATTATGTAGAAAATATCAATAGTAGTATAAATAGAAAATATTAAAGTAACAAACGGACTATCTACAATTATATGTGATATCGGCAATATAGAAGCTTTATTAATGTATCCATCTCCAAGATCCAGATTCAATAATTTATTGTCCCAATACATCAGCTTAATAAAGTCATAGTACTAAAATAAATTATATTTATAGTTCTGCGTTGAGTGTCTATCAAAAGAAGTATAATGCAGTAATTTTGATAATAAATAAAAACAAACGAGAATGACGTTCACATGATGATACGTGAAATAGCCTAGCCATAAAACATCAAATCAAAATGTGCTGTCGACCTAGCACACATTTAAATAAGACACTGACGGTTTAATACGCGTAATATTATGTTAGTTAAACTTGTTTGAAAATTACTTTAACTACGGCCCGACATTTGCAGCAGCCGTGGTCACGGGGAGAATACGTCAAACAATTTTAACTAATATGTATCGCGTTTTAAACCGTTTTATTGAAATGTGTGCTACTCGGGTTAATTACAGACAGTACTATACGTCTGTGTTATGTAAGATTTGTGTTCCCAATATTTGTTTATATAAACACAACGTCTGTGCCAATATGTCAATGTAACGCAGGTGAGACAGATATTCGCAAATGTTATATACCCGTATTAATATTTTTTACAGACAGATATTACATTTTCTATTCATAAGTACTATCTGTAGTATACACGAGTTACATTTTTAAATAAAATGTTTTTATTTTATCGTTTGGTCGTCATTCAAAAATATTAACTAACATATTTTGCATTGAAAACAGTTAAGTACATTATCATTTAAATGACGATAACTTTAATACGATAATTTAATAACGAAACGTTAAAAATAATAATAACGTGATTTCAATAGTTCTTTATAATTAATTAGATAAATAATGCATTTGCGCCGAAAACTATATAGACTATGTGAACTCACAATTCTATTTTCAAGAATTATATAAATGTATTATAGAAAATAAGAAATCTTTGTTTATTTTGTTGTAACTTCCGAATATCCAAATCCAAAATAGATGGACAGTGCATCTTGTCAGTGTCAAGTAACCCCGTGCTTGTCTATCCTCATTCTTTAAAAATATAACTTTTACAGTTATACTTATTACGATATTAAGCATTGTAGATTTACAAGTGCAAACTAATACTAAAACATTAGAATGGAAGTCGGTAAATGGCGAAAGTTTTAACAACCAGTAATTCGATGTCGCATCAATCTATTTTTCGATTTCAAGATAAAAGTTCAATTTAAAAAGCAGGTGAAGCGAGCGATCGGGACTTTTTGATTAAAATCGAGAATGGATTTTGTTTACTGTCAAACAAACTATTTAAACTGACAATGCTGGAACGGTTTTTAAACTTACGACTTGTATATGATATAGGCCCCTCTTCGCTTCGTTCGCTAACTATTTTAAATATTTGATGCACTTATTAGCTAGCTCTATATTTTTTTATGATGCTGCACTTGATGGAAGTTGAAACATGCCACCTACATAACAACTAAATTAGATAAGCAGTCAACATATCTTAGCTTTGCACATTCAGAAATCGGCTGCTTACATCTGACTGAGATTCGTAATCTGGACGGAATTTTGATATTCCTACCGTACATTTAACATCCAGATTTCCCGAAGATATCCAACTCAATATTTCAAAAAAATATAAATTGATAAGAAGCACGTTGGATTAAATAATTGTTTGAGTACAACTGCTTGGCTACCGTAATCGACTTCTACAATGCGTAAGTGTAAAAAAATCATTCTTTGCAGCAGCCACTGATACGGTAATTGTAAAATTGCCTATAAAAGAATTCGAGTGGTTGACAAGACTTCTTCAAATATAACTATTGATGAGACATAGCGAACATTAGTATGTATATTAAGATATTGCGCTTGTGCACAAATAAGAGTAAGAACTTTCCTCTCAAGACGTTTCAAGAGCAATTTACGAAGGCACCTGCGCCCCGTTAGGGCTTATAACACATGATATATCTTCACACTTTCACACATGACGTGTTTTACTTAGAGGATTCGGCGTCTTTAGCATTTTAACGATGTTAGGGTAAACAAAGCCTCATTTATCAGAATCTATACATTTTGGGGGGAGAATTATGCTAATTGGAAAGCATTTGTAACGTTTTTAAGAACGCAAAACGGTACGGTAACGTATAATCCATTTCAAGTCACGAGAAAAACAAAATGATATTTTTATTTTTTGTTTAGTTACACAATACAAAAGTTTTTCGTTTCGTAGCATATAACGATTTATTATCCGTTCAGTACATAAATTTCTTAATACTAAAATAAACATTATTTTACAAAGTCACAGAATAGTCACATGATTCTTAAAATTCTTTGTAAAGTATTATTTAAAAATCTAAAAAAAAATTGAAAAAATGTTCGACTCGGGCAGGACTTGAACCGGCATCGTCAGCGTTCCGAGCTGTGGCTCTCCAATTGAGGTACCGGTCAGTCACGTCATGAAGGACGTGCAATTTATGTGCATATTAATGTTTTCAAACTGTAAAGTATTTCCAACATAGGCCACGATTTTAACCAACAAAAGGTGTTTTAAACAATGTACACGCATACTTGTTTTTCCGTTGTTAGTCTGTTTTTTATATGAATTTCTTACCGTATATTATATTAATATTAAATTGAATTTTACAACTGTAAAAATCAATGTTTTTAAAATAATTTTAATGTACTGCTTTCATAAATATAATTTTTGGTTTTCCTAATATATTGCTTAATACACAATTCTTATCACAACCCAGTATTTGTATCCTGAACCGAAGAATATTAGGAAAGATTTCTCAGGAGGTTCAAATTCGTTACACGGACGTAGTCGCGAGCGAAATCGAACTCTATTTCCTTGAAATAAAATTGATTCTCCAACTGTCACTACCGAGAACGATCATCTGCAATATGAAAGAACAATTTAGAAAGTTCTAGCATAATGCAGTCACGTAAAGAAATTTCACGATGTAAAATAATCGCGCGTGACTCGAAATTGCGTCTCTTTCGAGAGACGCTATAGGGCTGCGTGTACAAAACTTTTGGAATTACAGTGCTTTGATTTAAATGTGACCAAATTGTAGCGTTTATTAGCTCGATTGATCAAATTAAAATACTTCAAAATCCATCAAGGACAGTAGTTACTATGTTTGTGTCCTTCTAGAAAATATTTTTGAATAAGTCATTGGTATTTATTTACAAAGAATAACATTTAGTATATTTGTAATAAAAATTCGAGTTGCTACACAGTGTAATTAATTCTAATAAAACAGATTTACTACATACACATTTAAACTTGTTTAAATAATATATATATTGTTTTAAACCGTTAAGTGTTGTTTAAAACTGATTTATTTTTTATATATTGCACTTTACATTGATAAATAACATTACATACATCCACAAAATTTCTACTAAAATATGTTTACCAGTAACAAAAAATACCCATACAAGACATGGTTTTTATATTATTATCAACGTTTAAACCAAAGCAGAGATTCAAAATGCCATTGAAACTTTGTAACGCAGTCTTACATCGTGCCTCCGAAAACATTCACGTTAGACTAAACTTTGAGATACTTCAGTAAGTTGGTCTAATAAAATTTTATTTTATCCGCGCCGTATGGAAATTACCACGGATTTCATAAGTTCACCTCTGACTCCAAACTAAACTCGAATAAAGCGAGAAGGCATTTATCGAAAATCGTATGCTCACTGTAATGACCTTTGGTAAATCGCTGACTCATTGGTTCTCGTTAAAATCCTTTTCGGTGCGTATTCGGATCTTTACGACTGCAGAGTATCTTTTTATCTTTCAAAGAGAACTTCTTGTATGAATGATGCTAATAAAATGTTAGATAAACTTGATAGTAGTAACGAGATTTTCGTTCACAACAAAAAATATAACAAACGTTGTGTGTAGTTTACGAGATTACATATTTAAATAAAACATTTTAACGGTTTAAAACGCGATATAAACTAATTTTCTTTTCTAGAGATTTTTTTAAGGTATCGGGTACATTGCAGTAGCGTAAATGTTTTATTTAAATAACAAAGTTTATATTAACAAGCTACATGCAAGAAATAATAATAAATTGAAAATTGACTTTTTATCATCACATTTTTATTTCTAAGTATAAATATATTTAATTTTTCAGAACTATTTCAATATTAAATACCCCATCTATGCACTCCGTTAAGCATGACCACTTGGTACGAAAAATTAAGCAGTGAAGCAAACACATAAATGTCTGCCCTGTACTTCATACTAGGAGAAACGTAATATCACTCTTTAAGCGATAATCCAAATAAAACCAACTGATAAACATTATTTTTTATCGTAAGGATTGTACTTGGCGCTTTATCACGAATTTTAAGGTGTCATTAAAAAAGGAGAATATTTTGTTGTTGACTCAACATATTTTCGTGTACACAATAACTAATATTTTTATGCACAAATAGAAAATGTACTTTTGACATGCATGTACAGATGTCGACACTCATCCAAAAGCGGCAACTATTACAGTCGCTGTTTACCTTTATCAAACTCCCTAGAGTTGGGTTTCTTCAGTAATATTGGTTCGTGGTCTTCTCTCCTCCACGTTATTTTTGGGGGCGGATGACCAGTGGCTTTGCACGTCAGCGTTGCGTTCTCCAACTCTTGAACTGACACATCCCCCGAAGTATCATCGCTGACTATATCTGGAGGGACTGTGGACAAAGAAATATGAACATTAGTTCAATAAAATAATTTAAAATCTTCGTAAGTAAAAGCTCACGCCTTGCTTTTAAATAGTATGTCCACGTTAGAATAAGTATAGTGAATTTATAGTAGCTTTTCAGATATTTGCTGTTGTAGTATTCGTTTACATCAGCTCTACTTTTATTATCGAAGTGTGAATACGTAAAATCCACTTGGCGGTTTAATTCTAAGGAGTAATTATAATATTCCACATAAGAATATTAGTATATTTAAAAATTCCATTAAACTTTTTAATGTTAAGAAAAGAAAAATAATAGGAAATTAAGCTGTACTACGAGCACAAATTTCTGATATTATTCATAGGAGATTAGAAATATAGAAACACAATTGAAAAAATATCACATCAGCAAAATCCGTTCTCACGTCTACAGCCTTATATGTTTTTGCCTTACGAATTTACTAGTATCTAAATTCACTCAAAGCCTATGTATTTTTAAATATATACGAAAAAAAAAACAGTGTAACATTTGTAACTATAAATAAAAACAAAAAGAAATCAAACGCCTTAGAAATATCTAGGAACTGGCAAAATTGGAATAATGAATTATTCTCAGCAGATGAGACGACGACTCGCGTAAAAAAGCGCTCAATGCAAATGGCGTCCCGAGTAAACATTTAAAACAACAAAAAGATTCCATGTTATTCCGCAAGACGGTATAAATCACGGGGTTATTGTGGTTTCACTTTTTCCCTCGTTGGAAGTGAAAAAGTTCCGCGGATATTGTCAGGCTGTTTTCAGTCTTTTTTGGGGGATTTTTACCGAGCTTAATCCTTACGGTTTATGGGCCGCTTAAATCATTTTTTATTAACCATTTAGGCAGATGAATAAAGCCGCTGTGGCTTTTTGGTTATAGTAATTAGTGCAGTTATTAAGGAAGAAGATAGTTTGTGAGAGAACATTCTACCTCTGTACACTGATGAAATTAAAAGGAATTTACATTAGATGTAAGGCGTTCTAGGAATACAATCAAACATATATTTGTTGCAGACTGGACTAGACTAGCATATTATTGGTAGCAGACCGTCACAGGACTCGTAACATTTCTAATTTCAAAATTTCCGAAATAATCCTTGTACTGTGCAACAAGTACCGAACAAATAAAGAAACAAAAAAATATTCTGCTTATATCGAGAGGCGTCTAAAGTATATACCTACTCTATAATTTTAATTGGAAAATGTTTGTATTGTAATCTATACAATACTACTATATTACCAAAACAGCGAGCTCTTAAAAGCAAGTGTCAAATGTATGAGCTTTTTATGAGCGTACACCCTAATATCGTTACGTCCATACATCAATCATCCCGGATTTAACTGTATGGGAAAGAAATTAAGCCGCCACGACACATTATTGACACGACGCAATTTGTTTATTGAGAAAAATTTGAATATAGAATGTCTATTTCGTGGATTTTAGTTTTCGAATATTATTGGAATGTCCTTCTATGTGACAATCGTTATCCTCGTGAGCGGCTTTTGACAGTTCAATTTTAGAACGAATATTTGCATTTGGAACGACTTCGGTTTATGTTTTTTATCTGCGCTCTATGTTATTTACGCTGTTTATGAATTCAAAGTATATACTAAATACTTTTGTACATTACAGCCAGTATTTACGTTGTATGAAAATAAAAGAAATAAGGTTTTATTACAAAAACACCTATAATAATTTGATACTTAGATTTTGGTATATATGAAAAATAATAGTGCGTGATTCTAATCTTATTACTTTAAAAAACTACACTATGTTAACATTTTAAGCATTGGATAACACAAAGTCCTCTGCAAGGAGGAAATGGGTTAAATATTCAGTTCATAGTGTGTCAATAGAAAATATTATAAATATGGTAAGATCTGAAATGTAGTTAGAACCTACATTTACATGAATGAAATGATCTTCCTTGATAGCTAAAACTGTAATGAAAAGTTAATTCACTAATAATATCTTAAATCTTGAAATATTAAGCTAGCTCTTGATATATATTATTTAAAACGTGAGGCGTTCCACTTCGATTTGAAACAAAGCCACTGACCGGAAGAAAGCTGAAAAAACTAATCGAGTCACGGAGCTCCCACGGAATTTCGGATGAGATGGAAATTGGAAAAGGAATCGCGACATTGACCGCGCATGCAAATTCGTGGCCCCAAATTTAGGATGGCAGTTTGAACTTTCGATGGGTTATCAATTCAATGCCTGGCTTAGCAATAAAACCTGTGTTAAATCATACACAGTCATTTTATAGATTGCCGGTGCACCAACTATTAGGCAATGGCGCAGTTGGTACAATTAATGGTAAGCCAAAAAATAATATGGCAAAGTTAGTGTGATTGTTTAAATAATTTTAGGTGCGCGATATTGCTATGCTACGAACTATATATTACATGGTGTGTTGTTTAAAAAGAGTTAAAACGCTTATTAAAAGTGTAGGCAAATTTAACGCTCTTTGTATATTATTAATATTCGTTACTGTAACATTAGCGAGTAATAAATAATTAAATCCTTCTAGTTCGCATCTATCTATATAAAGCTTAACGCGTGATTTGTTAAACAATGACCATCAATTATTCCTGTTTATGAATTATTGTAATTAATAATTCATAACGTTAGAATTCTCTCTATATGTAATTTGTGTGATTATTAAACTAATTTAGTATAAATTGAAATAGAAATTAAAATCGTAGTAACAATACAAAACATAAACCTATTTGAGTTTGTTGTTTTGCAAATTATATTACACCGTTTGTGCCTAAGCTATATATGGTGTAGCTGTTTAATTTTCATCTTTGCGCGGCGCCATTTTGAACAATGACGGTACGTAAAAAGGCGCCTAAAACGGAGGTTAATTCATTCTGATGAATTAATCAGATATACATTAGATGAAATTTTAAATACCAGTATAGGCAAAAAATATAGGTTATAATGTTCTCAGACATTAGCAAACCTTATTCAATGATAAAGTAATGGGAATTTAACCTCGCGACCAAAAAATAAAACAAGTAAACACAAACAGTAGTTCACTTTTATGACTTTTCAATTCCACAAATGTGGTACTACCTTTATCACTTGACACGCCCCCAATCGGTATTTATTAGTGTCATAAAACAATAGGGGTCAGATTCCGTTCAAAATGCCATAAAGATAGCGCTAGTTTATAACCTAATGAAGTGTTTAAGCTCAATTGAATTTCACCTTTATGGTTTTCTTTATGGTGAGGTTATTCTTTATTACAGTAATTGTTTGAAGTAATATAGATTTATAAATGGAAGAATCATTATGAAATTTCTATGATTGCATAGAAGTAATTTGAACGAAGTAAGTCATTCATATATGACTATACGTATAATCAAATTCTAAATAACTATCTCCTTTGAAAAAGCAAAAAAAATATTATATGTAGTGTATATTCATACAATGTTCATTACAAAATAGATAATTTTGCAAATTTTGAGAACTTTATCCACGTATTGAATTATGTCACATGAAGATAGATAAGCGTAAAGTTCCCTCGCTAGAAGACAATTGCTTTAAGACATAATGATTAATGCTACCTTAGTAGCTATTTTGGAAGTTGAAATCTAAATAATATATTATTCTAATATTAAGACACCATTAGTGGTCTACTACTAGACGTAGGTCATGTGAAGAATATTATTATGATTACAATGGCATGGGAAGGAATTCCTACTGTTGTTTTTATTTAAAAAGAGGTTCCATCTAGCTATAAGTACAGCGGCCTACGAAAACATTCTCCAACATAAAAACATGTAGTCCAAAGGAGCTCTTAAAAGGATTCTCGCAGTGTGCAAACGTTGAAACTTCCATCCGTGAGACAGCGACAACTTTATTCCGAACTTCCGCGGGAAAATGTTTAATGTACATTTTATTTCACTTTGAAGACATCGCATGAAAAATTTCATTGCAAAATGCAATATGTTTGCCGGGATGTCACGCGTTGATGAAATATCTTTATTTCATACTCGCGTGCGAATGAAATGTTGAAAATAAACGCTGCAGCGTCAAGATTATTGGAGAGACGTTATTTGAATACTAGTTTTGTGTGTCGGATTTGTTTGGATAATTGTTTAAAGCACGTATCTAATATTGGGTCTTATTTACGGTGAAAGTGATGCTGTGTTGTTTTGTTTTATGCCACTAATTAGGAAGAAAAGAAACTTTTTCTTAAAAGGTCGCTCTTCAAATAAAAGGGCAGCATACCAAAAGATTTCATCAAAATAATTCCTTGGGTGCCGTGTCCCACCGCGTGACACCCGCTCCAATAAAGTATGGAACAAGTTCGAATTGAATAAGAAATCGCGAACGCCGCATGCAAATGTGACAATATTGCTGAACTAGGGTTGCCACAATGATATTATACTGGGTAACCAGGCTTTTTAAATTTTGTGGATACGGTTCTGAAAGTCTACTACCCTATACACTTTCATATAAAATATAATTGTTTTTTTTTTATTTCTTTATAATTAATTTAAATATGTTAAATGCACAACCAGCATTTATTTAAACCAAAAACAAACTGTCAAATAGTGTAATGTCATCAAAAATGTGTGTAATTTACAGAAGAGGCAATTATTGTCACTGTGAAAGAATAATTACTTCATTAGAAATGTCTATCGTATTGTCGGAGCCTTTTTATTTAGTATGACTTAAAATACATGGTAAGCGAATATCCTAAGCCAAAATAGGCCGACAGCGCAACTTATATAGCTGGGGTATTTTACCTCCCATCGAGTGAACCCCATGTGTGACCTTCTCTTAAAATAAGCTTTTTACAATCGAAATAAAAGCCCATTATCACAATATCTTATAAAACCATGGCCACCCTACACAAAGCTGAACCTCTTTCATCTTAGCTTCAGTGGCAAACTTTATTTTTATCCGAAATTGTATCCCGAAATGTCGATTTAATACGTTTCGATAGTTCAGTAGTT